ATAAGGATCAAACATAGTTTGTGAGGTAATTTTTATTGTTTAATTAGTTTATTATATGAAATTATTAGTTTGTTAGTTTAGGGTTTAGGGTAAAACTAAAATCTAGTTAATTAGTTTGTTAGTATAAATTATTAGTTGGTTAGTTTAAGTTATATATTTATTATATAAAAAAAAATTAGTTAATTAGTTAATAGTTTAAGTTATTAAATATAAAAAAATATTAATTAATTTGTTAGTGTCTTTAAACATATATTAGATTGTTCATTGAAGTTGAAGTATATTATAAAAAAATTAATTAGTGCTTAATTAGTGTGTTATTTTAACTAAGTTATATTATAATAAAGAAATAGTTTATAGTTTAAGTTATATTATATATATTAGATTATTAAAATTAATTTGTGGGAGCTATTGCTGTTTAAATAAATAAACGGTTTACACATACAGGGCATTATTCCACAACATTTGCCCATGTTGAAATTGATTCGAATAAAGAAACAAAGAAGGAAAAGAAAGGAAAGGAGGAAGGCATAAATACGTGAGTAATTTATTATTTTTTGTTGTCTATTTTTTGTTGTTGTGTATGTGTAAATTAGTTAGATAGTAAGTTTATATTAGATTATATAATATTTGTGCGAGATAATTTTTGTTTAAAAAAATATTGTGTTTAAAAATATTTAGTGTTGTTTTAAAAAAAATATTTTGTTTTATTTATATTGTATGTGTAAATTAGTAAGGAGTAAAAATTAATCTGGAATTAATCTGGAATGTGTACCATATCGTGAAAAAAAAATTCGAGAACATTATCTCGTGAATTCACCCGATTATATTTTATCGTTTATCATATATCAAGAGACATGTTAATATTAACATAAGTGAGACAATCAACAATAACAGCATATATATATATATATATTATCTTCAATTGTTCAAATAAAAATTTAAAATTTTAATATTTAATCAATGTAAAATTCACTTCTTTGTATTACACGGTACCTTCATGTTTTCTATACTTTAAATACACAACACATATTTAATTATATATTAAAAACGGATTTTTTAAAAGAAAATTTGAAGTTATTAAAAAAACAATTTTAATTATATCTCAGGATGTCAGCATGAAAATATAGCCTGTCAATCAACTAGATAAGTGCAGCAAAACTTTAGAAAGAAGTTAAACAAAAAAATAATGAATGAAAATCTCAAGCTTCCCTGCAGTAGAAGTCCATGGGAAAAGAAACACGGAACTATAGAAGAAGGAATGATAAAGGGAAGGGATTTAATATGCAAATGTGGAAGGGGATGAAACGGCAAGCAGCTAAGTTTGGTGCACAAATTTCATGTCGGAAAAGGACCGACACCCAAATTTACTTATTCATCAAACAATCGATCCTCATTCTTTGCATGGACACTCTAGTTTTGTTGCTTCGGTCATCTTTTCACGTGTCACTCTTCCAAATTACAAGTCAAGAGCGTGCTTCGCTAGCCTCTTTCCAAGCCATGAAAACAGGGTGATCCACCATGTAAATGATATAGAAAAAGGTGTGTTAATGTATCAGAAGGAGGAGGATAAGCATTTAGTGCCATGATAATCAGTAGCTAATTCATATTACCCCGCAATTTTCTTTCAGTACCAAATACTTGTATCCTTTGAATAAGAGTGCACAAATGTTTTTGTCCCCTTCAACACTCTTAATAAATCATGGAACTAATAGTGTTAAATCACTATGATTCTATGAATATGCGGGAAAAAGCCCATAAATATGAAAGATTAAAGTTTGAAGATAAGTAGAAGAAAAAAAAACCACGCAAATAAATAAAGCCCTCGAGTCAATCAATCTATATTCCATGGCTCTCGGCCCCTACTTTGCACAAAGTAAGCCACTAGTTGCAATTACACTCCCACCACTCTGATACCAATCAAAGTATAAAAAACCCTACAATCTATACATCCTTCTTGTTGACTTTCAAACACCCCTATTTATTCTTCAACAACCTTTTCCATTAGAATAATCCAATGCTTACATCTGCCCCCTACACCCTTCCATTAATGCAGTGCAAGCAGAAACCGAAGAGAACTCCAATATATATATATATATATATATATATACACACAAAATAAGAGAGACAAGCTGACCAGAATAACCCATTTCTCTAAAGCAAAAATCAACGAAAAAGCCCTTTTTTTCTCCTCTTCCTCTCTCTCTCTCTCTCTCTCTCTCTCTACTCTTTGGAGTCTTCAAACCTTACTTCACTTTCTCTGTCACCATTGATGGAAGATTCTAATTAAACACCAAGCATGTATTGATATACTTGATCCCTTTTGCTTCTTGTTTCGGGGAATCAGCTCGTACTTTGAGTGGAAAAGAAGTTTTTTTTTTGTTTTAACAATTTAAAACTGTAAGGAACGATATGGGAGAGTACTTTCAATCTTCCCCTTTTCATTTATTTTGATTTCCTTTCTTGTTTATCTTCTTGAAGGGGACTCCTGTTGTGGGTTTTGCCAGTTACGTGGATTAATTTATCAAGAAAGAAAATTTATTAAATGTTTTTATTTATTTTCTTTGGGAGATGGGAATATGGTTCATGACAGTTTATTTAATTGAGAAAAAAAAATCACAGGAGTAGGTGAGGAGGCCTATAAGAAGAGATGTTAAATATGCTGCCCTAGTGCAAAGCAGTTCCAAAAACTAGAACAACAAAAGGGCAATTGTGTTCTTTTCTTTTTGTCGCTTTTGGCTGGCTCCTTTGGATTAGATATCTAACTTAGATTTTGGTCATTGTCACCAGCATCATCATGTCTTCATCAAACAGACACTGGCCTAGCATGTTCAAATCCAAGCCCTGCAATACTCACCACCAATGGCAGCATGACATCAACTCATCTCTCATGTCAACTGGTTGCCAAAATGCCTTACACCTCTGGTAAGTGAGAGGCTTAATCTAAGGTGCCTTCTCTTCATGAACAATTCTACGTAAGACATCATGGATTTGTCTTTACCTACATAAATAAATGTCGCTTTTCTCATTAATTTGCTTCTTTGAAACTGATGTTGTTCATAATTTTATGTTGACGTGACCCTAGTTAGGAAAATTATGTTGTTTGAATCATTGACAAGATGATAATGTCGTCTGCAATAGTTGCAGGGTGTGAAGAGCGTAGTCCGGAGCCTAAACCGAGATGGAACCCGAAGCCTGAACAAATTCGCATACTGGAAGCCATATTCAACTCCGGGATGGTTAACCCACCTAGGGATGAGATAAGGAAAATCAGAGCTCAACTGCAAGAGTATGGCCAAGTAGGGGATGCCAATGTCTTTTACTGGTTCCAGAACAGAAAATCAAGCAAACACAAGATGCGCAATCTTCAAAACTCTAAACATCAGTCCCAGCAAAACCAACAAACCCTCCATCACTTTACCGTCTCTTCATCTTCCTCATCCGAGAAATCTTCACCGAAAGGAGCTAACAGCAGTACTCTCTCTTTGAGTACTACAATGTCATCGATATTTCCAACTCTCCAACTGCTTCTGTGAATCAGACCTACTTTCATCAGCCTCAGAACGAGTTCTTGAACGAACCTTTCTTATTTTCCATGCAACAGGCTACTGCAGGAGCCGGTTTTACACAAGCGTTTGGCTTATCAGAGCTAACCAATGTGATTCCAGTCCCTGAACAACCAGTTGGACCCTGTACAAGTCTATTGTTGAGTGAGATATTAAGCCATGGGGATTCCAGGAAAGAACAAGAGGAAAGGATGAATATGCAGCTCCAGCTTAGTTACAGTACTGTGACAACTGCTGCTAGTACTCACTCTATTTCTCCACACACTGCTTCCTCCAGTGCTACAATTACTGTTCCATCTAATATTCAACAAATTCATGGTAATTCATTTTTTTCTTCTTTCACAATTGAGGATATTAATATAAGGATTTATCTTTATTAGTAGAAAAAAGGAAGAGGATAAAAATGTCATTTAGGACCAGGACTTGGTATCATTTGTCTACGGACGAACGTGTGCATGGCTTGTTTGTCTCTGGAAATTGACTAGTGTTTGGTGTTTTATGTTGAGTGATTGGCAGGTGTTGGGGAATCGGCCGCAGTGGACACTGGCAGTCTGGGTAGATCGACGGTGTTTATCAATGATGTAGCGTTCGAGATAACGGTGGGTCCCTTCAACGTGTGGGAGGCTTTTGGTGATGATGCAATCTTGATCAACTCCTCTGGTCAACCTGTTCTCACCAACGAGTGGGGGTTAACCCTTCAGTCCCTTCAAAATGGTGGAATTTACTATCTGGTTCGCTCATTAAGCCCCTTCTCCATCTAAGGAAGGTGACTATAAAAAACCTCAAGTTTGTTGTACTGCATATGAGTAGAAAATTTATATCGATCTTCTGCAATGGGGTATAATGTATACACTATTTTCATGTTAGGTAATGTGCATGACAGCTAGTTTATTCATAAGAGATCACTTAGGACTTTTTTTCTCGTGTAAACGCTGGAAGCTTTTACTTGCCATAGGAGCTCCTTGATTAGTATTGTTTTCTTGAATTGCAGGTTTAGAGATGGGGAAATGGAAGCTTTTTTCTCGTTCTGATCCCACCATCATTTCTCTCTCAAGTCTAATCTCAAGGTTGAAATTTAGGTTTAGCTGCTCCTTAGGGCTCTGTCTCTCTCTATATGATGGATATGTAGTATGGAAACTTTCTGAACCGATGTATTAACTAATTTCTTGTTAAGCAATGTGCATGGATTATATGCTATTTTACTTTTGATGTCCATGAAATAAGCATAGAAGTTGCAAATTATACCTACTTTTAACTTATTTTACATTTTACTTTGCATATTTTCTCCCGGAAGTATAGTTAAACATAAAACTAAATTTTTCATATCATATATATTCTTTACACTAAGAAATGCCCACCCCTTTTAAGGCTGAAAACTTTTCCTATATTAGGGTTTAGAGAATCTTTTTAACTAAAATGAGATGAGTTATTTATTTTGTTTAATTGTCTAAAACATCTTTTTCCAAAATTCCATTAAATCTCAGTAGAAAATTTATTATTGTTAGATTGATTTTTAAAATTAAAAAATGAGTTTATAGGATAAATGCGTAATATTATTTATGTTGTTATAATTGACATTATATATCAAAATACTCTTTCTTTTATTTTTTTTTATTTTTTTTGTATATTCCTATGTAAATCTCAATTGGATTTTAGGTATGTTCTAGTTTTGAATTGGAGGAGTCATCTCTAACCTAAATCTTTTTGTAACCAAAAAACGAGGTGTATGACTATATATCAAAATTGTTTTTCTTGGAATTATGTAATGATCTCATCTCTAAGCAATTAATTTGGTACCAACCAAATCAAGAATACATAGGGTGAATAATTATCTCCTCGATGACCATGAACAAATTTGAAAGCCTCCCTTAATTGCTATACCATTCAGCAAGCCAGAAAACTATTGAGATTTGAGAATCTAAAATACATGAGAGACAACCTTTGTCAATGCCGGGCAGCTGTACTTCATGCATGCAAGACTCGGTTCAAAACTTCAAATGTTTTAATATTATTTAGTTTTTTTTTGTAAATGTTATTGAAATTTGAAGTGATTAATTACTGACCAACCAGGGCAGGGAACATGGAGTTTTAATTTATGAGGGTAGTTTACACACACATATATATGCGATGTTATAAGCTAGCGTGAACCCTTTTATTTCTTTGAAAAGAAAAGATGTTGTAAAGAGACAAATGAAATGTATGAGATACAGGATCGTGATAAATAATGAACATCTGTGTATGTCTTTTAGGCTTCTAAATTTGTCTGTATATGATAAGTTTTGCATTCAGAAATAGGGTTTTACTTAGGATTCATCCAAATATCAAACAACCTATTCAAAGCTGGCCCATCTGTTATGTAAGCGTCGAACAGGGTCTTGCTAGTTTCAACTTTTAAAACTCATTGCATCACGGGAATCTTAAAAGACTGAAAACCCTCACTGAACCCCCCAAAAAAAGGTTGTCTGGTCTAAACATTTCGCTGTTGTGTTTTCGTGTTGCAACAAATGAGCTAAGCTATGAACCTGACGAGTGGGTTAAAGGACGAGAGGGTGAGTTTTGGTGTTGAGTGGTGCAGTGCAGATATTTGACGTGCACTTTGGTGAGAACAGTTTAAGCACCAAGCACTTTGGATTTGACAAAGCAAGTGTTGGGATGCTTCAGAAAAAAAGAAAAGGAATCATTTCGCTAGCTATTTCTAGTTCCACTTGCGTCACAATTTGCATGAACCATCAGCGATGATAATGCTGACTGAGAGTGATGACAACTCCTTCGAACCCCAAAAATTCAAACTTGGAATAATTTCCAAAGTAGATGGAGATAGAAGCAATGGCGGTTGCAAGGTCAATAACTTCTGTGTTTCCCATTGTGTTTAGCTCGGGGAGGTTCAGGAGGCTAAGAAATGGGAGAAATGTTCATAGCAGGACACGTGGCCTAACAAGAGTGATGGGATTAATCAATACGTGGAGATTAGGTGGGTCAAACAGTAGGTTTGATTGGATGGTTGTGGTTTTATACTGCCAAGTGCAAACAAAACATAGATTGGTAGGCTGCTGCTAAGCTAGAAAGGTAGGCTCTCACAATCTGCCATGAAATCGCGTAAATGGGGCACGATACATGTATTTCTTCTTCCATCATAAAGACAAAAACTAGATTTGCATTTTTCTAAAAAAGATTTTGGTTAAATGCGATTTAAAGGAAAACATGGAGTTTCAATGGTAAGTTACTATAAAAGCTTTAATCGTAACTTGTGCATTATAAACTGGTTAAACAATATTTCAAGTTGCATAGAAAAGAAAGAAGAAAATAATAGACTTGTTTGTTTGTAATCTCACTAGATCGACAGTTGTTTATCAACAGGAGACTTGTCAAACAGGACTTAAAATGAGGTATTATCTTGCTTAAAATCCGACGATGAATCTCTTTATATTTTTGTATTTCACCCCACCCCAAGAAATCAGTCGAAAATCCAAAATCATTTACTAGTTTTGCAAGCATAGACCAAGCTATAATGACTCGAGAATTGTATACCATTCATACATACTCAACTACAGATTGAGATTTATCTTTCATGAGCAGATGAAAGACTTAGCATACAAGTATTAGAACCCTAGAAATACAATTCGCTTAGGTTTTCAAATGGTCTGAAGAAAAACAGCCATTTCTCTTGCTTCTCACCATCTACCAGAAGTTAGATCGAGGCATCAACCCCGAAAATACGAGCACTTCTGTGAGCAAATGAACTGTACAAATTTATGGCCACCAAAAATAAGAGATTGACCAGGTTTTCTATATTTATAGCCACCACTCTGGCCGTGTTAAAAGCTTTAGCAGATAAATATAACAAAACTAGATGAATGGGTGTAGCTATTTCAGCTTTTATCCATTTTCTTCGACTATGTTAGATAATAACCACTTAAATCGTCAACAAGAAAATCATACTGCAATCCATGCCTGTAATCAAACTTCTCGCCTGCTGATGCCACCACATTTTGAGTAGAATAAGGATTTCCGACACTGACCTTTGCACTAATTTTAGCCCGCCCTTTGACATTGCGTTTGTTATCAGTCGGGAACTCTGCAGTGAGCCTTCCCATCTGTTTATGTAGATCAGCAACAATATCGTTTGCTGATTTCCCTTTTGCATTTTTCTTACCCTCAACGAGCTTCAATTCCAACCTATACAAGGCACAAGCATCACACTTGTTGATTTCATATTCATAAAGGTGCCACTCAAAATGGTTTAGTGGCCGTGGATCCATGTAGTATGATCTCTTCAGTCCTCCAAATTCATTCATAACTTGCTTCCTTGACTCATGCCAGCCACGCCCACTGTAATCCGGCAAAGACCTCTGGTTTCTGTTCCCACTTTCAAATGCTCTTCGAGGCTTATCAAAAAAGAGCCACTCCCTAATTGATTCACCCTCAAGAACTGAAAGATCAAAGAGCTCTGTAATCAAAGGAGAAAAATAGTTAATTTCACAAATCAAAAAATAAAACCACGTCTGATTAGAGAATGTACTCTGTTACCACTCAAAAGTTGCCACCAGAAACCAAGTAAGCAATATTGATAAACATACCAGGAGCATTCCATGGAGACTTTGCAGTTGCAGCTCCTTCACATTCCGGTATACCCACATCTTTTCCTTGTACCTTGGCACTGAGAGCAGCAAAGAGCAGTCCATCCTTGAGGCCAATGCCACAAGGTCGCAAAATCGGTCCCGTGCCAGTTGGTCCTTCATCCATTGCTAAGCTAGCATGAAAGCTACTACAGTAGTCTTGACACCAATACAACCCTTGAGCAGGCCTTGGACAATCCCAAAGTGCACACTTTGGACCTAAGAATGCAGATGGTGGCAGGCATATACTTGGCAGATAGCCAGGAGTATGAAGCATGGCATCCTCCCCAGTGAAACCTGTACAATTGTAACCTGTGTACAAGGGTTCAAAATCCTGATGCAGATTAAACTGAGGGTATTCCAATTGAGTAGCCCCTTCCAAGTTGTTAATTGGCATAACACGGACTCCTGATGGCGAGTCTTTGCAATGATCAACTAACTGATTCACTCCATAACCCTATAAGAACATGTTGATTACAAAACTTGCCAGTGAATGTATTTTCAACTTAGAGCATGCCAAAGAAAAATGGAAGCTGTTAACCAAAAAAACATTCATGTAGTCAGAGAAGAGCCAAAGTATGCTCTAGGAAATATAACTTTAATGCAAAAGTACGAACAAAATATGGTATATTAAGCCCTAGTAAGCTCAAATAAAGATCTAGGTACAAAAGCATGCATGACGCTGAAGCCGAGGGAGGTTACCAATTATTGGTGCTGAGAAGGGATATCTTAGAATGAAGTTCACTATCTGTGCCAGTCCTATTCATTGTGTGTGCAACGAATGAAACATATTTGATGCTCTGGCCACTTCCAAAAATATCATATATTCTCCCATATTTATCACAGAAACACCCAGTAGTTACTAGAGAAACCAAAATCATTATATCCTGGTCTAAGTACCCAATCCTGTTTACCAACCTAGAAGAGAATTGCAAGCATGTTGTGGTAGCCTTCGCTACTCTATAACAACATTAAACAAATTAGAGACAGTCATCAAGCAACATGATTTTTCATCATTTCACTACTTCACAACATTCTACAAACTAAAAAAAAATCGTGGCCATACTATATAAACATGTACAGCCCCCAATCCCGTATTTACATAAGAATGAAACCAAAAGCTTCAAACAAAAAAGAAATCTCATCCCTTAAGATGGACAACGTAACTTGAGCTCATGTTGATCCAAGCTTACCGAATAAACATGTTATCACTCCAACCATCATGCAAATCTCAAAGAAACTAAAAGGCAAAGAATTCAATGATAAAAGCGAAACCACCTCTTGAAAAGCGGCAGTATCTCCTACTTGCAGGTTTTGATCATTAGGCTCAGGCTTTGGAGCAGCTAGTACACTAGTTGCGTCATCTTCATCTTCGCAAAGCTGCAGCAGCCGACAAATATCCGATGAAAATGAACCAAGACTCCCTCCCTGTAATTCACATGAAGATCACAATTCCCAATCACAACATCTTAGATAGTATTCTCAACCTCTTAAGATCTAGACTCATAAGCATTTATCTTGCACACAATTTGCGACTGCCAGACCACTTCAAACAACATACAACCTACTGAAATTCATTGCCACAAATTCACAAGGATTTAAAAAATATACATGTGATTCAAATGAAAATTATGTGCAGTGCTGACTTGTTGCAATGAAGATGCCGGAGAAGGTTCGTTGAGCTCAGCTTTCCATTCACGTAGCATCTGATGGACTTGCTCCTCAAGGACCGCGACATCGGTGTTGCGGCTCTCCTTCCTGGCAAACTGCAGATCCAAGAAAATCCCCTGCAGGTCATCCACCCGGTTTTTTGCCCTGTCCTTGAAGAGTT